CAGAGAGCTTGGATTTAAATCCTCACTTGGCTACACACTGGTTTTGTTTTTTAGTTTTTTTGGGACGGTCTCACATTGTCATCCAGGCTGGAGTACAGTGGTGCTATCTTGGCTCACTGCAACCTCTGCCTCCTGGGTTCAAGTGATTCTCCTGCCTCAGCCTCCTGAGTAGCTGGGATTACAGGCACCCGCCACCATGCCCGGCTAATTGTTTTCATTTTTAGTAGAGATGGGGTTTTACCATGTTGGCCAGCCTGGTCTTGAACTCCTGACCTCAGGTGATCCTCCTGCTTTGGTCTCCCAAAGTGCTAGGATTACAGGTGTGAGCCACCATGCCCAGCTGTTCTCACAGGATTGAAAGCAGTCTGTATGCTGTCACCTTCCAAATAGATTCTTTTCCTCCTGCACCCCTTTCTTTCTATATCTTGCCCAGCTTTCTTTCTGGAATGCCAGCTTCACATTCCTACCTATTAATTCATTTGGATGTCAGTAAATCTCTTGGATTTAACGTGACCAAAGTGAACTGCGGATCTCTTGCCTGAGACCTGTTCTACCTGAAGTCCTCATCGCCGTTGATGACGGATGGTTCCCTCCTTTCGAGTGCTCAGGCCAAAACCTTGGAGTCCTACTTGTCTCCCCCCTCTCTCATACTCTATACTCTTCTAATCTATTAATAAATACCATCCGATTTTTCTTCAAAATATATCCATGAGCTGGCCACTCCTCGCCACCTCCACTCCCATGCCATCGTCTGATCTTAGGCACCATCGTCTTTCATCTGATTTGTGCCATGGCCTCCTGCTGGGTGTCCTTGTCTTCATCCTTGTCCCCCCACCCATATAGTCTATCTCAACACTGCAGCCAGAGTGATCCTTTGAAAATGTGAAGCAGTCACATCACACTTCTGCTTAAACCTCCCAAATAGCCGGGCAGAGTGGCTCATGCCCGTAACCGCAGTACTTTGGAAGAAGGCTGAGGGAGGCGGCGCACTTGAGGTCAGGAGTTTAAGACTAGCCAACATGGTGAAACCCCGTCTCTACTAATAATACAAAAATTAGCTGGTCGTGGTGGCGGGCACCTGTAATCCCAGCTACTCAGGAGGCAGAGGCACAAGAATCTCTTGAACCTGGGAGGTGGAGGCTGCAGTGAGTTGAGACCATGCCACTGCACTCCAGCCTGGATGACAGAGCGAGAATGTCTCAAAAAAACCAAAAAACAGCTCCCAAATGGCTTCCCATCTGATTAGAATAAAAACCCATGTCTGTTTATGGCCTGCGCTCTCTTCCCCTGCCTCTCTGACCTCCTCTCCTCTCCATCCACTCCCTCCTGCCCGCTCCCATCTGTGCTGCTCTGCCAGCACACCATACGCACCCCCAGCTCAGGAACTGAGAAGTTCCTGTCCTGAATATCTGCGTAGCTGTCTTCGCCCCCTCTACCATCAGGGTCTGCTCAGGTATGACTTTTTCAGCGTGCCCTTCCATGGCCATCCTATATAAAAGAATCACATCCCTCCAGCATGCTCTTCTCCCTGCTCCTACTCAAAATTTCTCTAAAGCACTTTTGCCATTGGCATCTTAAATATTTAAAATGTT